CCCGACCTCCCGCTAGCGCGCCCTGTCCCTCCCCGGCTCTGCGGGTGCCCCTCACTCCCGACCCGCAGCCCCTGCCAGCCCAGCTCTGCCACGTGCCCCTCACTCCCGACCCACAGGCCCCCACTGTCCCAGATCTCACCCGTGGAGGGTCAGGATGCCCGTCCAGATCTTCATTCCAGTGATGGGTCCAACAATCTCAAAATTGGTTTGGGAGAATTCGTCCCCCCCGGTGCCTCCATAGAGCCCAGAGAACGAGGCTGCTACAGCTTGGTCTTGACCTGCAGGAAGATAAATCAGACTTGAGATGCAGGGTGTGGGCTGGGCACATGGGGACCCCTCGCCCGGCGCTGGGACGCGGCCCCTCTGGGGCAGGGGGGGCGCACGGGGACCCCTCGCCCGGCGCTCAGGACAGCACGGACTCTGGGGAGCGAGGACCCCCACCCCCACTCTGAGCGTCTCCCATCCCAACGCAGCACAAGTCACGCCCTGCTCGCACCCTTTCCTACACAGCACCCCACCCTTCGCTCCTACCTCTGCAGACGCTGGCGCCAATCGCCACGAGGAGAAGGAACTGGAGCATCGTGGCTGGGGATCTCGGCAGAACGTCTGAGAACAGAGACAATTGGGAGGGAATTTGCCTGGATTCGTTGCTTTCAAACCGTTCATTTCCTACAAAGGCTCATGTCCAGGCACCAGGAACTGGAAAATTCCTACTAAATCCATCGAACATCGGCTGAACCTGAGAGGCGGCCTCTCTGGGGTGGAGCGCGAGGGCTGTTTATACAGGGACCCCCTCACCCAATGCTGAGATGCAGCCAGCTCTGGGGTGGAGCAGCCGTTTGTAGAGATCCAAACTCTAACCCCAAACTTCAGCAGCCAATCCGAGATCGGAGCAGGAACGCTCCAGCCACGGCACTTACCTTTCCCTGGGCCAACCGCTGAAGCTGGAGACCTCAGTTCATGGCCTCCTTATATCGGCTTTCTGGAGGTGGGTGCCACACACCCCAGATTTACCCTGGCATCTGCACACGCCAGCTCCCGTTGTTCCCAGCCCGGCCTCTGTGCCCCTAGGGAGGGAGCTCGGCCGATAAGGGGCGTTCGTGCCACACCTGTTTGACTAGCCGATAGCTCCTGGAGCGCGGTCGCCAAAGGGCTCGCGGGTGGGTGGGAAGCGTTGGCCTGGAACCAACCAACCAACCACATTCGCTGCCGCAAACGTCCCCGGCCTGTCGTTGAAACCCAGAACCCGGAGTTTTTATGGCTGCGTCCCGAAGCAAACAGACATCGCCCCACGTTCGGTCCGATTCTCCTTCGGTTCTTCCTCTGGCCCGCAGCCCCGTGGTGTCTGGGCGCCGTCCGCAGACTCGCACATGCGGCAGGGTCCCCTGTCCTCTCCCCAGTGTGCATTGCAGGGCCTGGTTTTGGTAGGGACTATTTGCCGGGCTCCGTGTTTACGGTGCAGGAGGCACATCAAAGAAAGGTGCCTGGTGCTTGGCGTGGACGGGCGGAGGCCTGGGACGGCCGTGAGGTCCACGGGGTCTGTGCCGAGAAAGCCCCCTGTCCACGACACGCAGGAAACAGATGCTGCTGCTTAGTGTCTGCGACAAGGCGGGGTTGTGTCTTACACCCACACCACACAACACTTTGTGGGGTGTATCTGCAGCCCAGACAAAAGCATCCAGATTCTCTGGCTGCGACCCAAACAAAACAAGCGTCCCCGTGTTCCCGCTGCCCCGAACACAAGAAATTCTCCTTCTCGGCCTTTGCAGCCAGACAGAGCTAGAGTTGCCCTTTGTGTTGTCTGCGACCCAGACATTGCCGTTGCCGTGTTGTGGCCACGACGGGGAGAAATCAGACGCCCCTGAGCGGCGTCTACGACCCAGACGCAACAACTGCCGCTTTGTTGGGTCTGTGACCCCGACAACACAATGTTTCCCCTGGGGCTCTCTGAGACCCAGACAAAACCAGTCATTCCTTGATCCTTGGCAAGCCCAAAGCAAAGTGGATTTCCCCGTGGGGGGTGGCTTCGACCCTGTCCCCCGGCCACTGGGCTCTTTAAGGTCCGGTTCATCTGGGATGGGTTAGCTGCCCGACGGGGGCCTTTGGAAATGACCCAACCAGCAGCTAAGCAAAGGGAAGCAGACGGGTGCTGGAGGAAGCTACGTGAGAACGGGGAGGGATTTCATGGGAGCTCCTGGAGGAAACAGGTGGGAGCCGGGGAACCCAGCAGGGGGTAGAAAGACTCGGCGTGGGACGAGCTCCCTTTCCCAGGCGGGTGAAGCGACCCCGCGGTGGAGGAGAGGGGCAAAGCGGGGTCTGAATGGTAAACTGAGGCAGGACACGCCTGTCTCACTGTGGGAGGGCGCCCCTTGCAGGGGTCAGCCCGTAACAAAACCACCTTTCCCTTGTGTTCTCCGTACCCCGAAGGAATTGGGGGCACCGAGGGGGGCCCGCCCAACCCAAACAAGCTGATTACCAGCTGGGAGCAGTTTCTCAGAGCAAGGAGGTGAGGATGTTGGGTTAATAGATAACAAAACAAACACAATTCACAGTCTGCTGGCAAACCGCCAGGGCACTGCCCAGGGCACACACGGAGCCATGAACCGCCCCAGCCTGGGATTCCTAAGTGCCGAATGGTCCCGGGTCCCGGCCCGAAAATCCCGAGAGTTCGCCTAAAAATCCTGAGATTTTGGTTACGCACCAGGAGATTTTTTAAAACGTTCTTTTTATTTGCCTGCCGGGTTGTGTGAGGGCCGGACTCACCTGAGAGAATTCAGGATTTACTCCGGGGGATCTGAGATCGAAATCCAGCCCCAGTGTAGATGGGATCATGGCTGGATTCTGATCTCAGCTCCCCCGGGGTCAATCCGGAGTCACGCCCTGACTGCCGTGGGGTGAGAGCCGGATTCTGATCTCAGCTCCCCTTTCTCCGCTCGTTGCATTCGGCACAATGGCCTAGGCTGATTTGCAATAATCCTAACCCTAATAATAATCCTAATCCGTAATAATCACTTGTGCTGGCAGGGTGCAGGGTTGGGTTTTTTGGCTGGCAGATTTCCTGGGAAACTCTCCAGCTCCCGGGAAGATGTGTTAGACCACGTGATGCGTGTATCACTACATGTAAATACACGCCATGCAGATTAATTCTTCAGCCAGCTAGTCTCACTCAGGCATGTGCTGCTGTGTGTGAAAAACTCATTTGTAATCCATTAACGGCTGGGCTGGTGGGGCCCTGCGCTCGACGTTTCTCCGCTTGTCTCTGGGCGGAGATAACTTGTGAATGTTGCTCTTACACCCCTGTTTGATTTTAATAAGCCGCTATTATTAATTATCGCAGTGCTAGTGTATTGGCATAAGGCACTGGTCATTATTAATAGTTTTAGTATTAAATTTCTCTCATTACATGATCAACCACTGTTTGTATTACTTATTCATATTGTTCCTAAGAATTCATGATCTAGTATTTTATCACTGCATCATATATTTTATTTCTTATTATATAGTTTTCTTTATTAAGATATTTTTATATACAAGTAATTTAATACAGTACTAAATGTATTTCCCCTCTAGAGGGCGCTGGCTCGGATCCGGCCCCAGGGCAGGGACTGGCTGGCTCAGGGCTGGGGCGTGGGACCCGGGGTTCCCAACCTGTCACTTGTATCCCTCCAGTACAGGATTCTGCTGCTGCAAATCCGAGTCGTGACCCTCGTCCCCCTGCCTAATTCGGTCTCAGAAACTGCAGGTGAGTAGAACAAACCCCCAGCTCTGCCGGTGCCCCTCACTCCCGACCCGCAGCCCCTGCTAGCCCAGCCCTGCCTCCCCACTGCAGCTCTGCCGGTGCCCCTCACTCCCGACCCGCAGCCCCCAGCCAGCCCAGCCCTGCCCCCCCCAGCTCTGCCGGTGCCCCTCACTCCCGACCCGCAGCCCCCCACTCTCACCCGGGGAGGGGAAGGGGGAAGGGTCCCTGCCCAGACTTTCATTGCTGTGGTGGGACCAGCAATCTCGACCAAAGCTGTCCCCCATGAGCCCTGAGACGGAGGCTGTAATGGGGTGGACATAAACCAGACATGAGCTGCGGCTGCCTCTGGGGTGAAGCAGCTGTTTCGACAGGTGCTAAATATCACCCTAAATTTCAGTGGCAGGAGTGGAGACTGGAGCAAGGGAACCGCTTTATCCCCCAGAGCAAACAATGGGACCGAAGCGCTGAAGATTCAGATGTCAATTAAAGTCCTTCTTATATCGGTTTCCGCCTGTACATACCCACGCTGGAGGTGGGTGCCACACACCCCAGATTTACCCTGGTGTCTGCACACGCCAGCTCCTGTTGTTCCCAGCCCGGCCTCTGTGCCCCTAGGGAGGGAGCTCGGCCGATAAGGGGCGTTCGTGCCACACCTGTTTGACTAGCCGATAACTCCTGGAGCGCGGTCGTCAAAGGGCTCGCGGGTGGGTGGGAAGCGTTGGCTGTGGGTGCCTGGAGCCAAACAGCCAACCACATTCGCTGCCGCAAACGTCCCCAGCCTGTCGTTGAAACCCAGAACCCGGAGTTTTTACGGCTGCGTCCTGAAGCAAACAGACGTCGCCCCACGTTCGGTCCGATTCTCCTTCGGTTCTTCCTCTGGCCCGCAGCCCCGTGGTGTCCCGCAGCCCCGTGGTGCATGCGGCAGGGTCTCCTGTCCTCTCCCAATGTGCATTGCAGGGCCTTGTTTTGGTAGGGACTATTTGATGTGAAGACATGTCAAAGGAAAGCGTCTGGTGCTGGAAGTGCATGGTCCTGAGTTCCAGGGGGAGTTTATCCAACAGTCCCAGACCAGATGCGGAGAATGAGTCTTGGGTACGACCTGGACACAACAGACGATGCTCAGACAAAACAAACTTTCCTGGGTGGTTTTTTCAGTCCCCAAACCCCCAAACAAAGAAACTTTCCCCTGTGTCCCCCACACCCGAAACAAAACAGAATGTCTTTGAGGGTCTTTGCAACCCTTTGTGTTGTCTGAGACCCAGAAGAATCAGAGGTTGCTTTGTTGCGAGTGTGACACAGACAAAACAGTTGGGAGGAAGATCTGATGCAAGCTATTGGGAGAAAACTGGCTGGAGCTGGGGAACCCAGCATTAAAATTACAGGGCAATTACATTACCCTAAATAAAAGGATGGGAATTCATGTCAATCAACACGGGTTTGTGGAAAATAGATCTTGTCAAACGAACTCGATATCTTTTTGCGATGAGCTTACAAGTCTGGTTGATAAAGGGAATAGTGTGGACGTACTATACTTAGACTTCTATAAGGTGTTTGGTACCACGCAACATTTTGACGAAAAAACGTAGACAATATAAAATTAACACGGCACACACTAACTGGATTCAAAACTGGCTAACTGATAGATCTCGAAATGTACCTGTAAGTGGGGAATTGTCAGCAAGTGGATCTGTTCCCAGCGGAGTCCCTCAGCGATTGGTTCTTGGCACTCTGCTATTGAACATCTTTATCAGTCACCTGGGAGAAAACACGAAATCATCCCTGATAGACAAATATCAGGGGGTAGCCGTGTTAGTCTGTTGGGCATAAGCTTTCAGAAACACTAACCCAGGAACCAATCCCTGTAGCAAACCTCGTTGCCTTCTCTGTCCCCATATCTATTCTAGCGACACCATCAGAGGATCC